TTCAACTAACGTGGATGAGCATTTCATTAGAAAGAACGAAAACTCACATGCAAAATGGATTGTGCCATTTAACATCACTCTATTTCCCCAAGTAGACTCACTCGTACAATAATTAGTGAAGGCATAAAAGGAGAGATGCCTGGGGGATTCTGGGCATGTGACCAAGGCCAGGCTTATCAAGTTTTTCTAACCACTGGCCACAGCACAATTGGTTCAGAGATGGACATTAATTGGAGATGAGTCAATGAATGATCAGAAAGGAGTTGCCCACCTTTTCTGGAGTGTCTGGCTGGTAGAAAATAGTCCTTGAGGTGCCTGTGGCAATACTGCTACTCTGCAGAGGCAACCTGGTAAGAGTGGTGCTCCTATGGAGCAGACAGAAGAGGCAGACGGGGCCATTGTTTATCCAACAAATACTTACTTCCAACTATGATTACTCAGACACTGGAGACAGAGTGCTGTGGACAGACCAGTGATCAAACCAGGCAAAATCTTTCCCCTGAAGGAGCTGACACTCTGGTCAAGGCACGCTGGGGGGACGATGACAGAGTAAACACGTGCAAGATATGTGCAAGCTATAGGAGGTGTGGTGGTTCTAACTACTACGCAAAAGAATAAAGTTGGGGAGGAGACAGGGAGTGTCTGGAGATGTGGTGGTCAGGTGGCACCGAGGCTGTATTTGAGTGAAGACCTAGAAGAGATGGGGAGTGACACATGGCTGCCTGAAGGAAGAGTTTTGGAGGCAGAGGGAACAGCAAAAGTCCTGCAGTAAAGTGAAATTAGCGAGGGGAGAATAGCAGAAAATGAGCTGGAGCAGAAACTGGGAGACAGACAGTGTGAGAGGCCTTGCTGGCCATTTTAAGAATTCAGCATTTGTCTGAAATGGGATGGGAAACGACTGGAAGATTTCGGACAGGGGCATGGCATAATCAGGATCACTCTTGATTATGGAAGGAAGTCAGCAGGATGGTGATCGGCCACCAACCCGATCCCATGGGAGAGACGGAAGCAGCTTGAACTGGGGTCAGCAGTGAATGCAGTAGGAAGTGGTAGGTTCTTGATAGATTGAAAAGTCAGATTCCAGACCAGCTGTGGGGTATGAGAGAAAAACAAGAGTCAAGGATGACTCCCAGGTTTTTGGCCGATGTTTACTGAAATAATGGAGTGGAATTTACTGAAACGGGGAACAGGGCGGTAGACACAGGTTTTAGATGGGGTGGGAAGAGCAATCAAGAACTGTTTCATTAATAGAAATATTCAGTTCGAGGTCTTACCAGACAGCTCTTAAGGGTGTTGATTTGAGTGCCTGCATCCATCCATGCTGAAAGTCAAGACCGCTACTTGACTTTTCTGTTATAAAAAGCAGAATATTTGTCCTACAGATTCTTTCTCGCAAACTCTGAACGTAAAACTCTCAATGGGTTTCCTTTTAGAAAGCAACACACTTCATCATTTTTAAGCCGTCTGCAGATTTTCCTCATCAGTCCCTTTATATGGAAGATGTTAAGAGTTAGCTCTCTTTGGGTTGCAAGTGACAGAAAGCCACCTTAGATTACTTAAAGAGGCTAATTAGTGTTAAACTTTAAAAATGCTTTTTTTAAAACACACAAGTATTTAGATATCAAAAATTAAGTGTTTAATGAAAGCTACAGTAATTAACTTGAGAATCCTCGTGCTATTTTACATTAATCAGAAATATCACCCAAGATCTGTACTGATATAAAGCCTTCCATATGGAATTCCATAATGATGAGCACAAAACACTTGCACATTTTGAGCAAGATGGTAAAGGACTACACTATGTGTTTTGAATTCACAGTGTGCAGCCAAGACGAAGTGTGTTTGATTAATAATATTACTTTAGGTTGGCCTGCCTCTTTAGGTTTCTTTCATCCATTCAACATCTAATGAACAGTTCCCACGTGCTGGGCACTGGGGCTGGGTGAAGAAGACACAGAAGGACTCTCTCCCTGTAAAGTTTACAATCCAGAGAGCAAGAAAGACAGCAAGCAAGTAATGAAAACTGTTACTTTAACTCTTTATGCCCGCGGAAGACAGATCATTCTCTTCCTAGTGATAATCACAAGAGCCTCACCCAAATTCTTAAATAGGATTTGAAGCTAAAGCACATCAAAGCTTAGGGTGACTATTAAGAGCTACCAGTAACAGTATTACAAGTGGATATAAAGGATTCTGGTTTACTTGTAATTTGGTACATGTTTAAAATAGTATTATTAACATAAAATTTTAAAATCAACACTTGTTCTTCATGTACAATTTTAGCGTGATTAGAGATTTTAACTATCTGTATCAATTTCCCACCCAATGTGAGAAATTTTCCCTAATAACATCTACAGATCAAAATGCAGACTCTAGTCGAATTGCAGCACAGGAGTGCATTATTTTTGAGAGATTTTATCCAGGTGTTGGAATTCCCAACAGAATACAGCTCCGTGAACATAGAAGTCCTTCCTGTCTACCTTTGATCTCCTTACTCAGTTCTTAAGCACAGAGAAAAATCGCAATAAATACAATTGTAAATCAATCATGAATATTCTAATTATATAGTTGAAAGAGAGGAGAACACAGTGGTTAAGACTGTCTGAATTTGGATGCCTACCCTGTTATTTACTCTGTGATCTCAGTAAAGCTATAAAAACTCTATGTGCTTCTAAGGTGAGGATACTAATAGCTTCCAAGTCATGGTGTTGCTATGGGAATTAAGAATCAATATATGAAAAGTGCTGAGAATCATAACTGGAAATTGCTAATAAGTATTAGCCATTAATACTGTAACTATCATCATCATTGTTATGTGCCAATTTGTACTTCAGATCAGGCGTTTATATGCCATTTCTAAATTATAAAGGCATTTTCTCCTTTTGGAAATTTTATTTCATTCATTGTTTAATATCATGATATTTCTATTGATTTATAATCAGTTTCTTCCTTCTGTCTTACCAATTCACTAAGTTCTTAACTGATTCTACCATGAATGACATCACACTGTCTTTTACAATTATAATTTCCTAGCAAGTAATCAAGTCAATACGAATTTGTGATTGATGCTGTGGCTTGAATATGTAAATAATAATGTATATTTAAGCTTTACTAATTCAGAATTGTTTTTGAGAAAAACCAAACATATTTAGTAAAAAGTTATAAATACAGAATATTTTTAGTTTCTGTATTTCCAAACCCATATGTTCCTTGGTCTAACAGAAATCATGTGGTATGAATAAGTAGGTGAGTCAGATTGCCCCTAATAATTAGTTAAGAATAATGCCAAATTATTATGTTAGCTGGTTGCCTTGAAATAGATGTTACTAAAGGGATTCAAATGGTTTATTGCTAAACTTTTCCTTTGCAGTGCTCAATATATTAGCAAGTTGTTGCTATACTTTTTTTTTCCATACATGATGCAAAAATAAACATATGAACTCCTCTGATTAAATTAACACTGGTTAATTAACATTTAAGGTACTGTGCCAGGCGTGGTGGCTCACGCCTGTAATCCTAGCACTCAGGGAGGCTGAGGCGGGCAGATGGCTCAAGGGCAGGAGTTCGAAACCAGCCTGAGCAAGACCCCATCTCTACCAAAAAAGAGAAAGAAATTAATTGACCAACTAAAAATATATATACAAAAAATTAGCTGGGCATGGTGGCACATGCCTGTAATCCCAGCTACTCGGGAGGCTGAGGCAGTAGGATCGCTTGAGCCCACGAGATTGAGGTTGCTGTGAGCTAGGCTGATGCCACGGCACTCTAGCCTGGGCAACAAAGCGAGACTCTGTCTCAAAAAAAAAAAAAAAAAAATTTAAAGTATTGGAATTATGCTTTGTATATATTTTAAATTTTCACAAAAATGCTAGCCAATCATTCATTCCAATCATATTATTGACATTTTTTAGCAATTTCAGCCAACAAATGTATGCTTTTTAAAAAATTTGTAAATGACATATGGAAACAAATGCATTAATAAAATTGGCAAAATAAAATGCATAAATAAAATTTAACAACTATCTCATTCTTATATAAAGCTAATTATGCAAATATTTTTACTGAATTAAGAAAATTTGAAACTAAATTAAGAAAATAATTTTCTGCAAGTAAAAGTATCATTGTGCTAAAGTTACCTAATCCTGGCATGTCCCACTTTCCTCACCTTTAAAATGGAGATAACAGTGATACTCCCCTCGTGTGGGTAGCTATGAGGATTAAATGTGGAAATGAGCATAAAGTACCTGTGACACAGAATATTTCCAATCACTATTAGCTATGATGATGGCAATGACAACAGCAACTTGGATGCATTGTGAGAAAGCAGCAATACAACACAAAGATTAAACATGCAGTGTGCTATTAGTTTAACTGAAATACGTGTGGGAAACCCCAAAATTGTTAATCACTGACTTCTTGGAGTAATTATAACTCATAATTGGAGCTGGCGAATTTAGCTGTGAATACATCATTAACCAAACTCAGCTTTGAAGGCAACACTGACGTCTCTGGTTAGATTTTCTAAAGTATCAGTATATTCATGTGGACCAATATCTGACGATGACAACCTTTTAATGCACATGGCCATTTTCTGAATAATGTAGAAAAGAAGAGTAAAGAAAGAAAGAAAAAATCACTCCTGATTCTTTGGCATTAACTTACTCATGCTTATAAGAAATCCTCAAGTTTTGGGAAACTAAAAATACGTGGAAACAAACCCAGCTAAGCTTATCACATTTTAAAACAATGGATAGATGTAACTTAACACTCTATCAAAACATGCAGATGCATATTTACATGGAGTCTAAAGATTTAGGGATATCATGAAGACAAGTCTATGTGTGCCTCTGCGTTTACAAGCGTTTGGAGTTACGTTTATATAATCCAGTGGGATTAATGACTTGGGTTGTCCATTTACAATGATAAAGAAGGCTTCCATTTTTTAATGCAAACTTTCCCCCCTGCCTTTCAAAAAATCAGAATATGCGTAATATACGTACGAGTTTTCTTGGTGGTTGCATTAACTGTGGCGCTAAACGGACCGGCACCAGCGCTGTTGTAGGCCCGGACAGCTGTGTAATATGCCAGGTTGCTCTTGAGACCCTGGAGTCTCGCTGATGTCTCATTTCCTGCCACTTTCACTTTGCTGGAAGATTCCTCCTTCCCTCCACTATTCCAGTACCTCACCTGGTGGACAGAAGGCATCAAACATGCTAAGGTTTGACAAAATACTGCTCTTTCCATTCAGTGATTTTCTTAAAATGGGTCCTGTGATTTATATTATCGTTCATTAAAAAAATATTTGCCGAGGACCTACTATGTGCTAGATGCCACATTAGGCTCTGTGCCACAGCAGTGAAAGTAGAAAAAAAAAATAAAGGGACTCTAGGGGGGTACAAGTAATAAACAAGTAATTTAGGAACCAGATAAATTCAAAGAGAGTTAAGTACTGAGTATGACCAGACTATAGCATTATAAATGGCAGAACGAAGGGAAAAATCTGCTTAGCTAACAGATTGAGCTGCTCCCCTTTCTCAACCTTTAACCAACTCAGACCAAGCTTAGCTCCAGAATGTTGGCAGCCATGCATGAACGCCACTGGTGATCGGAGGTTCCTTCTGTGAAGAAAGTGAACTGTCAGAGAAAAGACCATTAAAAAGCCAGCTGGCCACTGGATTACCCCACAGCGATGGCCAAATGTCAGCAAGCCTACCTGTATATGCAGAGCAGCAGCAAAAAAAAAGTAGTTAAAAGAGTTGATTTTAAATGTAAATACATATTAAAGTATTTGTATGTATATTTCATTATTCTGAACCATGTAAAATGATTTTAGACCTATTATAAAGACATATGCACAGACAGTATCAAAATAAATGATAAAGTAGTGATAGAAAGAAGAATAAGGGCAGAAAAAGAAAGATAAAAATGCATGTTTCTTCTTTTTTTCACTTTTTTGATATTTTAATCTTTTTTTATTCTTTCTATTTCAGCATATTATGGGGGTACAAATGTTTAGGTTACATATATTGCCTTTGCCCCACCCCAGTCAGAGCTTCAAGCTTGTCCATCCCCCAGACAGTGTAGATTGAACCCATTAGGTGTGTATGTACCCATCCCTTCCTCCCCCCTCTGCCTGACAGCCGATGAATATTACTACTATATGTGCACTTAAGTGTTGATCAGTTAAAACCAATTTGATGATGAGCACATGTGGTGCTTGTTTTTCCATTCTTGGGATACTTCACTTAGCACAATGGGCTCCAGAGCTCTATCCAGGGTAATGCAAGAGGTGCTAGATCACCACTGTTTCTTTGTGGCTGAGTATACACATACCACATTTTCTTAATTCACTCATGTATTGATGGGCACTTGGGTTGTTTCCACATCTTTGCAATTGTGTTTGAGCTGCTATAAACATTCTAGTGAGAAACAAAATACATGTTTCCTAACCACCTCCAATTTATGCTATAAAGTTTTGCTATGCTTTGCTAGGAAGTTGGGTTGTCCATAAAGTAAATACAAAAACAAAAACCACCAGCAACAAAACATACAAATGAATAAGTCATGAAAAGTACAACTCTTCCTTGTACAGGAATAAGAGCAGGCATCACCATTTGATTATCTGAAGCAGGGGATGGACAGTTAACATAAATATATAAAGCAGCCTGTGTACCTATTAAAAGTGTAAGCATTTTTTTTTTTTTTACTTTGTAAAGAAACTGGTTCTTTCCTATCCTTCTTGAAATATGTGGCTTTCTTGTTCTGTGCATCATTTTTCTACTCTTGAGAGCAAAACATAAAAATAAGAAATCATTTTGCTGTACAAGTAAATGGCAATGTGAACACAATGAAAATGGGAACTGACCCCAGTGCTCAGAGCCTTGGGGACAATAAAAACTTGGGACTCTGTGGCAAGTGGGAAAGCAAAGGGTCATCTTAGGGATGGAACTCCCACAAACTGCCAGCTGATTGGGGAAGATGAACTTGTGTTTACAGATCTTATGTTTTATTTATTTATTTTTTTTAAAGAAAGCAGAACTTGAATTTTTTAAAGAAAGCAGAACATGTCACAAATTTAGGGTTGGCTCGATGTTTTAAAGACACTGCGTGGATAATACAAAATGTGTTTATGGGCTGCATAGGGTAACTGGTTTTAGTTCTCTGGGCCAAAGACACTAGAAGTTACTGTTCTTTTGAAAAAAAATGAACAAGTATAAAATTCTCTCTTAAACAATAGTTGAACACTATAAATCTTGGGGTTATTCAAAGTGATTCCAAATTAGCAAATTAATATTGTACTAGTCAATATTTCCCACATATATGTGTATGTGGAATTATAGGCCCCCTTAAATTCATACAAAATGCTGTTTTCATGTTGGTATTTATGTGCATTTCTCTTGGAAAAGAGTTGTTAGTTTTTATAAGAATTTCAAAAGGAAATGTGAACCCAAATGATCAAGACTGAAGTGAATACATGTTTTCTATAATACAAAGCTACAGCCAAACAATTAGTTTGATACTAAAAGTTTGTATACATTCTAAACTCACCAACATTAAACATTATAGGTATTGTTAGATTTAGATGACTGCAAAATGGTAAAGGCACTCTCCCTACCCTTGAGAGCACTGTCTAGTGCTTTAGTTAAAAACTAAAGATGGCATGTAATCAATAATTATAATAAAATGTTATAAACAGCTTGGGATATAGCATATATTGGGGAAAAAATCACATAAATATGAACAATAATAATCCTCACTTAAACAGAAAGGACAATAGTGGCATGGGGGAGTTCCATAACTCAATTAAGAGCATCCTGTTTAAACTTTAGTCTCTTGCTAAATTCCAATCCCTGGGCCATTCTTTTTCTGATATATCAAATTACCTCAATAAATGTTGCCCAAGAAAGTGTTCTTTAGGAGACTGATCTAAAGAAAAGATAAAAATAATTTATAATCTGCACATGGAATCTCTTTCATAAATCCATTTATAGAAAGTACTTGAAGTTTCTTGATAGCAGTATGTTTTGAAGTACTTAACCAATCTCCATGTATCAGAATGAGACATTTATTTTTAGATTTTAGTTGCTGAGAGCTATTAAAAATATTTAGACACAGAGAAAATTTGTACAAAACTTGAACATGATAGATAATTAAAATCTTACATAGCTTTACTTAAAAAGAATTGAATATACATGCAACTAAAACATAAAGAAAGTGGTGTCATTAATATTGCTGATTTTCTATACATATTAAATTATGTTGATAAAAATCCTACTTAAAAATGTTTATATAAGTTTAGATCTTTTTTAAAAAAGATGGAGAGTCCCCATTTTTCCTCTCAGTTGTGTTTTGGATTTAGATAGTAAAAGTTCTGCCCCCGAGAGAACAGAAGATCTCTATGGTAATTTGGACTTTATAGGCACAATCACAATAAGAGATGGAGAAGTAAAAGTGTCTAGGCTGAAAGAATAAATTTTGGAAATGTAATTGCTCAGAAAGAGTTAATATGAAGCTGACAGAACACGCAAGTAGTTTCTGCAAAAGATGAGCAGAGAAATAAATATTGCAAACCACATGAGGAACCCTCCTAACAAGAAAGCAATCAAGCAGACCCAATTGGAGGATATGAGCTCCAACACACTAATCTAAATGGACTTTAAATAATTCTATTTAGAATATCCAGATTTATTAAAGGAGGGGCTGAATCTATCATGCATGCAATAATAGGAGATAAAGAAAAACATCATACAGATTTGAAAAGTCATAGGCAGAACACTTACACCTAAAAATCACAACTATTAAAAAAAATCAAATCAGTGATAGAGTTAAGCTGGACTTACAGTGAAAGAGGGAATTAATTAACCCAGAGCACAGCCTGGACAAAGAAGTAAAAATCATAAAAGCAAAGTTGAGAGACACTGAGGATAGAACAAAAATTTCCAACCAGAGTTCCAGAAGGAGAAATGAAGGAAAAAGTAACAAAGGGAACATGGCTAAGAATGTTCTAGAACTGAAGAAACACGGGGATTTTCATATTGTAAATTCACTCTGAGTTTAGTGTGGAAAAAACAGAAGGCAAATCCACTGCAAAGGAGAGGATGATTAAAACTGAATTGTAGGCACCACCAACAAGATCACACACACACACACACACACACACACACACACACACACACACACGGGCATATACACGGTGTCCAGGCAACAGCCATCTCTGCATCCCTGGCTGCAGATCCAGCAAGTGATAGGCCATCTGTGAAAACAGTAGAAGGCTATTTTGACCTTCATTTAACCTTGAATGAATCTTCAAAGTTAAGAGGGGCATTACGTGGCCTGTGATTTCATGGGAGAAGATCTCAAAAGGGCTTAGTGTATGTGGGAGACCAAGGAGTGGCCATATGGGGGAGCACCTCCTCCTCCCCATGGAAAAACTGTACCACTGGATATGGGTGGAAAGATCCCAGCCCAGGGCCTTAGCATACAAGCGTTTAGCCCCCACCCCTGCAACTCTTGAACAGTTCTCCCAGTTTGGAGAGCTTGTCATGAACCATCCACCAGCTGTTCCCCTTATTGGCTGGAAAAGCGACTTCTGAGCCTTGCTGAGACTGAGGCTTTGCAAAGCTTTTGGGCTCCCACAAACTGCCTTGCTCCTCCCCCCACCAAAGTGATGGTGGAGATCAAGAAACACCCTGGGAACTACAAGGTCCCTTCTAAAGCTTGGGGCACTCAAGTACTCCACCTGGGGGACCAGAGTCTACCACAGACACAAAAGAACATCTTGACACCTGGCTCTATCAGACAAACATCAATCAATGACAGGGAGAACAATGATAAAACTCATCATAGCATCTTTCAACTCAAACAAACAGGGTATGGCTAATTCACACTCACAAGTACCACTCATCATCCCTGAGAGTAAGCTGGAGGATCTAACTCACTACACATTGGTAGGTAGAGGTGAAGACAGCAGGTCAGAGGTAACCCAAGAGGTATACCACACCTGCTAGAACACACCACAGGCAACTCAGCACCAGCACTCCTCTCCCTGGCATGCTCAGGGATCATCTTCAGGGACCCAGAGACAGATCCATAAGCCAGGTCTAGCATACCCAGGTCTCAATCGAAAGGCCAGATGAGAAGGAATCAGCAAAAGAAAACTGCAGCAACATGAAAAATCAGAACAAAAG